ATTAAGGTGCCAACACATCTGTGCTCCCTCGATGGCTCCATAGGAAGAACTGGCCCAGCCTCTTCCTGCAGTGGTGGCTGTCCCTGTCTTTGGTTGATGAGGACAGCTCTCCAGCCTCCTGCACCTCTGTCATCACACGGCCCTCTCTAGGCCGGCCACCTGCCATATTGGATTAAAGTCCATCTTCCCCGCGTCTATCGTCTGAACTGGTACCATCTTCAAACATGTGCTTTCCAAGTAAGATCACACTCGAGACGTCCTCGCTCATGAAGAATCGGAGATGTGGGAGACGTGGGATACGTGGGAGACGCAGCTTTGGTTGGGTACCTGGGTGGTACTGCTATCGGAGTGGCTAAGAAGAAACCCTTTGTGTTGTGAATTAGGTGGAGGCTTCCGGAAGAGATCGATTTTCCCTTCAACAATTCAGATCCATTTTGTTTCATGTCATTGACTGCAACCCTGTCAACGTAGCACCTCTCATCCCACTTCTTCCCTGTGTGTCCCACTCCCATCCACCTTCTTCCTAACCCTGCTGATCTCTGTGCTCGGGTAAGTGCTGCCCTTTTGACCTCCAATTGCAGATAATTCTAAGGAGTATATACACGAGGGGGTACTGTCCCCCAAAATGGAATTTTTATTTCAGAACTATGTTTGTTTTGTGTGTGTGTTTTTTTTTTTAACAAAACAGCCTTATCGCCTTCAAAGTACTGTCCATCACACTGAGTACATTTGTCACATCTGCAATTCTATTCTTGGAAACATTTTTCAAACTCATCTTTTGAGTGACTGACAGCACCTCACTCATTTTTTCCCTTCACTTCTTCTACGTCGTCAAATCTCTGTCCTTTCATGTCCTTCTTCATTCTCGGGAAACAAACAGAAGTCGCATGGAGTGAGGTCAGGTGAGTCAGGTGTGCTGGGCAAGAGAGGCATGCTGTGTTTTTTTTTGCCCAAAACTGGTGCACGGAGATGGCTGCATGAGCAGGTGCATTGTGGTGGTGGCAAAATCAGTCCCCTGTCTGCCACAAATCAGGCTTTTTTGTTGCACACTGTTAGGCAATCTTTTCAGAACCTCGAAATAGAAAGCTAGATTAACAGTCTGACGTAGTGGAACAAATTCCAAATGCACTGTGAGTCGACATTTGTCTGTTTGGGAAGTTGACGGATGTCCAGAGTGAGGTTTGCCATCAAACTTTTTTTGAAACTCAACTCGTACGTGTGAGTTTTTGCTTGTCAGCTGTGTTCGGCACCACAACAGGTTCTGCGGCATTTTTCCTGAGCAGGACACAAAGTTTCACAGCCGCCCTCTGTTCTCTGAAATCAGCCTTCACAAAAAATGAGGTCCCAAGCGAAACTGCGACCAGGAGGACCTTCCTCTGGGTGCCACGGGGTGCACGAACTCAGAGTGAGTTGCTCGATGCTCAACTAGCAGGAAAAATGCATAATACGAAAGCTCCGCTCTGCCCAGCACCATTCTGGTTTTGGGGTGGGGGTACCCCCTTGTGCACCTCCCTAGTGTCATTGTCCCCCTGCCAGACCTGTGTATTGTTTGGCTGAAAGCTGAGCAGCTTTCAGAACCCTCTTCCAGACCTGAGGGTGACTAAGGGCCAGAGTCCAGGGGGTTCCACCCGTCCCCAGTTCCACCCGATGGTGGTGTCTGACCCGTTAGTCTGATCTTTAAATGAATGAATTTGAGTTCTCTCCTATTTTATCCCACATCTTCTTAAAATTTTTTTCCCCATTATTAATCATTTTCTTGGGGGGGCTCTTACAAATATTTTAACAATCCATCATTCAATTGTATTAAGCACACTGGTGCATATGTTGCCATCAACATTTCAAAAACATGTTCTTTCTACTTGCGCCCTTGGTATCAGCTCCTCTTTTTACCCCTCCCTTTCCCACCCTCCCACTCTCGTGAATCCGTGATCAATTACACATTATTGCTGTTATTTCGTGTCTTACACTGTCCGTTGTCTCCTGTCGCCCACATTTCTGTTATTCGTCCCCCTGGGGGGTTGGCTGTATATCCAACCTTGTAATGGTTTCCTCCTTATTCCCTCTTCCCCCCTCTTTCCACCCCCATCCCCTCACCCTCATGATATTGATACTCCCACTATTGTTCTTGAAGGTTTTATCTGTCCTGAATTCTATGTGTTGAGAGCTCTTGTCTGTACCAATTTGTGTGCTCCGGTCTAGCCTGATTTGTAAGGTAGATCTGGGTCATGGTAGTGCGGGGTGGCGGAAAGTATTCAGGAACTAGAGGAGTGATGTGGGTTTCTCCAGTGTTGTACTGCACCCTGGTTGAATCGTCCCTTCTTTGTAAACCTTCTGTGAGGGGATGTCCAATTTTCTACAGATGGGCTTTGGGTCTCCACTCCCAACCCCCTCATTCACATCGATATGATTTTGTTTTGCTTTGTTTTGGGTCTTTTGATAACCTGATCCCTGATCCCGTTGACACCTCATGATCACACAGGCTGGTGTGCTTCTTCCATGTGGGTTTATTTGCTTTCCTGCTGGATGGCTGCTTGTTTAACTTCAAGTCTTTAAGACCCCAGATGCTATATCTTTTTTTTTTTCAGACGCTGTATTTTTTGATAGCTGTATCCAGGATCTTCCAATGCGATCCCTTGTAGAGCCATCGGTATTGGTATCTGGACGCCATCCAGTTCTTCCGACTTCATGGTTGTGGAGACCGACGTCTTCATGGTCCATTTGTCTCCCAGAGTACTTGGTTTTTTTGTGTCTTTGCTTTTCTTTGTTCCAGATACAAAGAGACCACTTCAGATGTGTGTTCACCAATGTTTAAGACCCCTGCCAGTGACTACTCACCAGCAGGATATAGAATATTGTCTTTGTGAGCTATGTTACACCAATCGACGGTGGTGCCCCCCCAAGACTATGGTCCAATGTGTCTCTTTTGAAAATAAGATTCCAAAAAAAAAAAAAACAAGATTCAATTCATGACAAAGCATTTAGTCTAAGGTCACCAAATGATGATAGCTTTAAGCTATTGTTAGGGTTACTATCTTACTAAAAAACTACATATCCTAGGCCGCCTTTGTCCTCACCCCTGGTTCAGTGGATATCGCTGTAGAATGTTTGTTTTGGAAACAGTTTCTCAGGAGACTCCATGGGTCCATCTTCTACCTTCCCTTAGAACAGCAGTTCTCAACTGACCCCCTTTGGGGGTCAAAGGACTCTTTCACAGGGGTCGCCCGATTCATAACAATAGCAAAATTACAATGATGAAGTAGTAACGAAAATAATTTTATGGTTGGGGGGGGGTCATCCTAACCTGCGGAACTGTATTACAGGGTCGCGGCTTTAGGAAGGTTGAGAACCACTGTGCTAAGTCCAGGCCGGGTAGGTGAATTACCTTGGGTCACGTCACCCATTTTCAGGGGAGACAATTGAGTCTCAGAGGGGTGATGCACGGCCTGGCCCTGGCCGGGGATCCAGAGCTAGTTGGGAGCCCGCAGGTTCACCGCAGACACTTTCTGCAGCGCTGGCTGCAGGGGTGTTCTCTGTAGCCGGGGAGTTGTTGCTGAGGCTTGCTCTCCCTGCCGGGCTGTGCTGCAGTGTGACTAGGGAGGGCAAGCTACTTTGTAGCCTTCAGAAAGGCTGTGCTTGGGTGAAATTGCCCTGAATTTTAATGGGAGAATTGGACTCAGCGGGGTGTAATAATCAAACTGGTATCTGGAATGGTAATGATTTAATCCTAGAAGGCACGGTTAAATGCTTGCTGTGTGCTGGGTGAGAAAGTGCTAGAAGCGCATTATTCACCCTCAGGTGTATTTCCACCATTGAAGGGAGCTGGGCAGGTCAGGGGCTCCTGTGGGGGGTTGTTACATTGTGTTAGAGCCCTGGGAAGCCACGCCCAGAAGCTAGGTACCCTCAATAGGCAAACCTGAGGTTTCAGATGGGCCAGGCACATTGGTATGGGCTGACTCATGGCAGGGAGTGTGCAGCAGTGGAGGATCCCGGGGTGCAGTGGGTTATGAACTGAGCCACTAGCCAGGGTCAGCAGTCCAAGCCGCACTGTGAGGGAAAGAGGAGGCTGTCGCTCCTATGAAAAGCTACAGCCTTGGAACCCCAAAGGGGCAGGGCCCCTGTGAGCAGTGAGTTTGCATTTGGTTTCTGGAATGATCACTGAGCACCTTGATGAGCTCATCTTGTCCTTGGTAGTGGGTACCACCAGCACAGGGCTATAGTCAGGGAGACAGGCTGGACCAAGGTCACTCAGGTGGGCAGTCGCCCAGATTCAGACCCAGATGTTAAGGATTGCGAAGCCCAAATTCAGGGAGGAAGTGGGGCCTCTTTGGACTAAGCCAGGCTGCCCCTGCTTCAATGCATTTGGCATCAGGCTCCCTGCTGTGCCCTCCCCACAGCTTCTGCTCTTTGTGAACAAGCGGCAGTTTCTGTATCTAAGTCAAGAAATAATATCTGCAGAAGGCTTGCCTCAACGCAGAGACACACAGCTTTTAACTCGTTTCCCACGCACTGCTCTCGAGTTGATGCCAACTGCCCCCGTGGGTGTCCCTGACGATAAATCTTTATGGGAGTAGAAAGTCTCGTCTCTCTCCGGCGGAGTGGCTGGGGGTTTCAAACTGCTGACCTTGTGGTTAGCAGCACAGCACATAACCACTACACTGACGCCATATGAAAGCATGAATTTCCTGCTCAGAAAATAAGATGAGCACAATAAACGATTGGAGTTGATGAACTGACTCTTGGTTTTCTCTGAAAACCAAAACCAACATGCACCCGGCATAGTGGAGGATTCAACCTGCAAAAAGTAGCTGACTTTGTTCAGTTTCGTTATCGATGGCTCGCTCCTTGGCTGCCTTTTCAAAATCAACCTAAGCCGTTCGATTCCTTTTGGTTTCAGAAGCATGTCGCTTCAGCCATAATAATCAATTTTAAAATTAATCAAATTAGCATGTCATTTGCGGACCGGCAGCAACCCCGCGTCCCCGTAGGATGACAGAAAAGTCATGGGGGACGTGAGTGACGGTTACCGCGGCAACGCCGGCGCGGGCTCGTTCCCGCCCGGCCTCCGAGCCGCGCGGCGCGAACGCGCTGAGCAAGTTTGGCC